GCCATGTCGAATTTAGCACTACTCCCCTCGTTGGGGAGGAGTACAGAAATTGAATTTAAGAGACCTCTATGTCAAACTAAATAGCTTCGTTGTGGGGACGGGTGCAGGGTTAATTTGATTTAACGCTGCTAAATTCGACATAACCTCCTAGTGTAGACCAGGCCTTATATGAGTGTGGCCATGAAACCCGGATGTGTTAAATCCAACCTTGTGAAGATAGGCACTATTCTCCTGTCCCTCTGTATGCTATTCTGTGCTTAATTTTTTGGGGGGGGGGAGGGCTGCCTGGGCTCAGTCCTAGCACTGCTAGGCTTGGTAGTTCATAGCCCTGGCACATCTGTGCTTGTTATGTCAGTTATGAAAGTTTTAAAAAATCCCAATTTTCTGCTCTGAAATGTGTTTTTTCTTAAAATTCTCAACACAGTTGTATCCATCAGGGCCATAACCAGGGTGGGGTGAGCAGGGCAGCCGCCCAGGGTGCAAAGCTGGGGGAGCAGGGGTGGAAAAATGTGATGGGCGAATAAAATGGTAGGAGGTACAGCTCTGCAGCAGGACTGGGACCTCATGGGTCCCATTACCATACCATGCCGTTCTTACTTCTGCACTGCTGTTGGCCGCAGCGCTGCCTCAGAGCTAGATGCCTGGCCAGCAACCACCACTCTCCAGCCACCCAGCTGTGAAGGCAGCACTGCCATGAGAAGCAGCGTAGAAGTAAGGGTGGCATGGTATTGCCACCATCCGCAGCAGTACAAAAGTAAGGGTAGCAAGTATAGTAATGGGACCCGTGGATCCCAGTCCCACTGCAGGGCTCTGCCTCCTACCATTTCTTTTTTCATCCATCCCATTTTTCAGCCTCCCTCCCCTGGCTTTGTGCCCTGGGTGGCTGCCCCATTCACCCTGTCGTGGTTACTGCCCTGGTACAATATGTGGTGTAAACATCTAACACTAATACGCTTTCAAATAAACTTGTTAGGACTGTACGTGCAGCGGTATTACTGTCATTGGACAAGAGTTACAGGAGTGTTTTCAATAGTTAATATGTTATTTATTAGTAATGCTACGAGTTAGTCATGACAATCACAGCAGTCACGGATTCAGTGAATTTATCGGACCGTCGTGATTTCTTCATCTGTCTGCAGCTGAAGCCAGGGCTGAAGCTGTGGCTATGCTCCCCACATAGCCCCGCAATGGGGACCACAGCTGGGGCTGTGTGCTCCTGCCCCCTGGTGAGGGCAGCTCCTGCCCTGCGGCTTGCAACGGGGGCCGCAGCCGGGACCGTGGGCTCCTGCACCATGGTGGGGGCCGCAGCCTGGGCCAGGCGCTCCTGCCCCGCGGTGGGGGCTGCAGCCCGGGCTGTACACCTCTGTCACGCAACTTGTATGGTTATTTGTAGTAAAAGTCATGGACAGGTCACGGGCTCCGTGACATTTTGTTTGTTGCCTGTGACGTGTCCGTGACTTTTACTAAAAATAACTGTGACAAAATCTTAGCCTTATTTATCAGTGTTCTAAATATGATGGTGATAGATTCAATTCCATGTACCTTCTAAGTTGTTAGAAGTATGTGCACATTTTGGGATAATGTTTATTTTGGGTTCTTTTCTACCATCCAAGTATAAAAGTGTTATGATTTGTCCCTCTAACCCAGGGGTGTCCAATCTGGGGATTGGGGGACACTTATGGCCCTTGGGCTCTAACTTCTGGCCTCTGAGGTAGCTGTTAAGAAAATTAGTATTTGATTATTATTGAAAAATGAGATTGCTAAGTGGTGCTCTACAAGTTTTTAAATTGGAATGTTTTCACTATGGAGAGAAGCATAGGGGTTGTCACCTCGCCAGTAGTCTCCCACTACTTCCCTGCAGTTCCAGGAGCAGTTCTAGTGTGAACTTAGGGCGGTCTTGAGTAGCTGCTGTCCCTTCCCTGGTTCAGCTGTTGTACAACTTGCCTGGTGTCTGACTGTTCCATCAAAGGGAAAGGAGGGAAGTAGTTCAGGCTACTCCCATTGCCTGCTTACCTACCCATCAGTGAGAGCCCAGAGACAGCAGGATAGTTCAACTGGCTCTGTGTGAACCTGGCTAAGGATGACATCCCTCCCTCCTTCCCTCAGGCTAGGTCTACACTACCCGCCTGAATCGGCAGGTAGAAATCGACCTCTTGGGGATCGATTTATCGCGTCTCGTTGGGACGCAACAATCGATCCACGAATCGACGCTCTTACTCCACCAGCGGAGGTGGTAAGCCGCAGTGGTCAATTTTGCCGCTGTCCCTACAGCGGGGTAAGTCAGCTGCGATACGTCAAATTCAGCTACACTATTCGTGTAGCTGAATTTGCGTATCTTAAATCGACACTTCCCCCACCCCTGTAGTGAAGACCTGCCCTCAGTCATCTAGAGCAACACCGTACAGGAGAAAAAGAGAAACTGAGGACCAACAAACAGATTCTTTCCCTCAGCCCCAGTGCAGGCTAGAATACTATAGAGTGCTGCTCTAACTTGTCTCTGTTGGCTGTGGTCCCTGAAGAATCAGACAGCAGTTGAGGATAGCCAGAGTGCAGAGCATTCCAGCCAATCTCCTTCCCTCACCCCCCATACCAGAGGGTAGAGGAAGCTAGCTATGTCAGCTCTACACCCTCTTGGGAGACCCTCCAGGCCAGGGGACATCCCACAAAGGGACTGACTGGTGGGCTTCTCACTTTTTACACTGCCTGAATGGTGCAAAAGCAAAGGAACGGGAAAGTGATTCTGTCCCAAAGTAATAATTGATCTTTTTGTCACGTGTTGTGTTCAGTTCTCAGGCTCTAACCATATATTACCATGATAGTTTGGGTAGATAATCAATCTTACAAGTCCTACATAAATATGTCAATTCAGGCGAATGTTATTCCATGAGAAGTTTGAAACATCCTAAATAGTCTAGTATGTGGAAGATCTATGTATAGTTTGTAAATGTGCATGCACGAATGTTGTATTTTGTACATTGTATTTTCACACTGTGCTCTCTTACATGCAGAGAACCAGATCCTATGCTGATGTAAGTCATCATGACTCCATTGTCTTTTAAAGATCTATGCTGATTTACACCAGTTGAGGATCTGAGCCTCCGAGAATGTATGCAGTTCACAACTGCCATCACATTTCCATGGTATCTGAGTACCTACTCCCTGTGTGGTTGTAGTTCAAATGTCTGTGTTTATGGGCCTGATCTATTGCTATCTGATGTAAATGGAAAGACTCCTTGTGACTTCAGTAGGTTTTGAATCACACACTAAGTCACTCTCTAATATCTGGTGTACAGTGGGTACAGACACTAATGAACTGTAGCTAATCGAGACTTCCCTTTAATTCAGCTGGTGGAGGAAGAGCTCTGTCTAAGCTCGAAAGCTTGTCTCTCCTACCAACAGAAGTTGGTCCAATATAAGATATGACCACTCGCCTTGAGAGCCAAAAGCATTTATTTTTATCCCTGATGCCATATGTGCTCAGTTTAGGTGGTGACCTTGTTGCCTGTCATTTGTGACAATGAATTTGTTGCACTGTGATCCTTCTGAGTGCTTCTTTTCTTGTTTTCACAAGTGTGTTTGTGCAAACTGTGTGCCAGAATTTTAACCCACAATGTTCCTGTTTTTCAAAGTGCTGTTTAAAAAATACATAGATAAAAATTTTTAATGGTGGATTTCATTGCAAGTTTCTCAATTATAAATCCTGTCAACTATTTAATGCTATATTTTTTTACAGTCTGATATCAAATGTCTGTCTTGGTAGTCTATGTAATCTGCTCTCTCTGGATCTTAAATTATGGACAAACAATTCTAAAGAGAGCAATTCTGCTATTGGGATGAACAAAAATCTCTTTTGGCTGGCTGTAACAGTGTATACCTTTTAATACTGGATTTAGTAAACTAGCACAAATATGGACTCTTTCCTGGTGGTCTCAGTAGAGAGGCAAGGACAGAATTACAATTTACACTGAAGTATTCTCTCGCTCCATTGGTGGGGTACAGTGGGGTACATTGGTGTGGTTGGAAGAGTAGTTTAAAGAGTCACATCTTACTTTGTGCTTGACCTCTTCTGTGGATAAATAGAAGACATATTTTATAGACGCTTCATTACTAAAAAAGAAAAAATCTATTGTACCCTTTATGAGAAATAGCTTGTTGAGATGTTGAAAGCTATGCTTGTGGTTTTCTGTAAATCCTAGTACAGTATGTTGATAAAATGCACAGCTCTCAACATAACGTCTTGTTTCAAATTCCTTCAGATGTCAACATTTAGGCCCAAGCCTTCCTTTGCAATTCCTGAACTTTCACCTACTAATGCAGTATGTATAAAGTTAGCAATGCCCAATTATAATGTTAAATTTGAGGCATAGATATTTACAGTAAGAAATATTAATTATATATGCCAGATTATATAACTTCAGGTTTTCATCAGGACAGTGATCTGTTGGATCGTCGGAAACACTGCTTCGGTGTCCAATCTGAATCTGGAGAGGACCTCTACTTTTCTGTGGAGTTAGAGTGTGACCTAACCCTGTGGGAAAAAGCCTTCCAAACAGCAACTTTTTTAGAAGTTGAACGAATTCAGGTGAGACAGCTGCCATAATGCCTGTGTTTTGGAACATTAATAAGTGTTTGTCAGGGATGGAAATTAATAAGAAAAAAAGCCAAATGAGATGGAAACATCTAACCTTCTAATGGATTACGCATGTTGTTATTATAGTAACTATACAGTGTCCTAGTTGTTCCTGGTGTTTTGATTATATGTCTATCTACCGTTTCTCTATATTACTCAAATCTAAGTACAAGAAGACACTGTCACCTTTCCTATGGAGTTTGTAATCAAAGGCTCATAGGACATTCTTACCCACATCAAATTTCTGCTTTTTATTACCATGGATAGGTAACTCAATAAATAATGACAAAAGGCAATGAGCAAAGTAGGGACAGAAGAAAAACAGGAGAGAGAGTCTTTAAACAGTGGGGAGGTAACACAGCTGTTTGTACTGTCCAATCAGGTGATATAAAGGACCCAATTCTGACCTCACTTACAAGGATTAAACTCTCATTGTAGTTAATAGGTGTTGCACTAATGTGAGAGCAAAAGTGAACCTAACACTTTTGTTTTGTTTTGTTTTCTTCATACATTTTTTGTTTGTTGCAATTTCTTTTTAATTATCAGGTGCCAGAGTGGGGAGTATGTGATACCAGAGTAGAGATTAGTAGCGGACTATTCTATAGGTATGATTCTAGATCAGGCTGGGTAATATTTGATGCCCAATCAGCATTTTACTGTGAAATTAAGATGACCAATAGTGCATTATAGTTTGTGTTAAAATATAAAAAAAAGTTCCAAGTCCTTTCTGATTCACCCATTCCTAGCTGTAATGTTGATATCGCAATCAGAAAAACATCACTCTGGACACATCTGCAAAGATGTTGCCATGATTACTCTTCCAGCTGCACCCATAAAAAAATCATATTTGCATATCAGTAGAATATTTGGGCATATAAGTGTTAGATGCCGCCCCTATTTGGTATATGTACATGCTGATGTGTGCTCCAAGACAAGTTTCTATGTATACATCATTTGTGCCCTCATTTGAACATCTGGCACTTCTTGTTTAAACAAAATGTTAAATGTTTATATGTGGTAACACCCTCCTGATCTCAAAACCATCAGTGCTGAGATGAAATAAGGTTAATTTATAAAACTGGTAGAAGTGCTGTCACTTTTCATGCATATAGCTATTTCCGTTAATCTCAGAAATGCCAATTTTTAACTTAAAAATGTTACTTTCTGTTACATTTTAGAGGAATAGTTTGAACTTTCATTACTGTGCTGGAAAATGTAAATGCAGTTTCACTCTATTAAAAAAATAAAACAAAAAACAAATAATCTCCTAATTCAGAAATACTCATGATACCTCTTACTTCTCATATCATTACCTGAGGCACTGTTTGTAACTGCACTACAGGGCATTCCACAAAAGAAAATATAACAAAACATCTATAATAACCATCAGCACTCAAGTTACTTCAATTTTGTCTCTTCTTATATGGGTACCTGCTGTGCCACTTCTGATTTTTGGCTCTACTTCTTAGATTTTATACTTCAAATGTATTCAATATGCTCCAGTGTCCTCAATAATACCTCTTCTAACAGTCTTATTCCCACATTTCCCCACTGTGATCAGCATATCTTGTCTTCATTGAGCTGAGAATATTTTTTACGTGCCAAGGGTGCATTTTGGCTATAGCAAATGTGAGAAACTGAATTATCAACAGTAAAATATTTTATCATTTGTGAAATTGACTGAAACCTAAAATTGACAGAATCAGTTTCATCTTTTGTATGTACACTTTTAGTGTTATATGTGAACTTTTTCCTACATCCCAATAAGGGGGGGGGGGAAAGGAGATGGGTAAGATGCCAATTCCAATACCTGAATTACATTTAGTTTGCTCTAATTTTCTTTCAGTAGTTTGTGACTTAATCCTTCCTCCCACAATTTTGTTGCACATTTATCATCAAACACACACAAGATTGTCAGTGTTAGTTGAGAAGTGGCATGATTGGTCTCTACAAAATGCCAATGAGTCTCATCATTCTGTGACAAGGAAAGAGCTACGTTCAAATCAAAATGCGGTCTCATGGATGGGTGATCAGAAAATTATAAATGGGCACTCTCAAATAATAATTATATTTATATTTAAAGTCAAGCCTCTATGCAGTCGCATACACAAGCAAATGGGTAACTGCATTCAGTGTCTTATTTGCATATATAGAAGTAAATGGAGCTATGCCAATTTACAACAGCAAGTAATACAGTCCATAGAGTTTTACAGATAGAGTTATTTAAAAATATACCTGATTAAGACCACAATTCAGCAAGGTACTTAAGCACTTGCCACACTTCTAGCATGTGAGAAATGCCACTAAAGTCAATGGGACTACTCGTGAGCCCCAGATAGGTACCTTGCTGAAATGTGACCTAAGTTCATAGCTTCTGCAGCTTCTAATATACAAGTAAAGAACAAACTTCCTTTAGGAAAAATTAAGGTTTCAGGAAGACAAATAAACAATAAAGTTGATAGCAGTTTTCCATTAACATGTCATGCAATTTATAATACTGTAGAGGTGCCTTTGTAGAGTATGTTATAGTTAATTAGTTTTCTATAGAGCAATAAGGAACATCCATGCGTATAATTAGATATTTAAAGAAAAAACAGAAGTCACATAGATAGTTGGGGGGAAAAAATCCTTTTCCCTGTTGTCTTATAGCATTTTTTTAAAGTGTGAGAAAAACCCAAGACATCTGCAGCATTTATAGTAGTGTTCAAATTAACTGAAATCAACTGAATGCGGCTGACAGTCTCTCTTGAAGTCCCTACTAGTTTATGTTGAATGTTTCATTCCTTGCTTTATGGGCTTCCTTTATGTGCTTTCTTACTATCATTCTTGTTTTTATGATAGCTGTTCAATCCAGAAGATGAGTATTGTGTAGCCTGCCTTGTGATTACATTTTAAAGTTTGCCCCCATGGAAGTTTTGTGCTTGAAAAGTTGAGTTTTAAAGTCTGAATTGATTCTTGAACCTATAACCCAAGTGTTTTCAGGTTCTCCAAGCTTCAGAAATAGCTTACAATAAGCTCACAGCACATCACGCCTTCCATAATTTAAACACCTCCTTGGAACTGTAGTGTGAACTGAGGGCGTAGGGTCTGAGGAACATAATGCTTTGGGCTGTCATCTTGTGGAGCTGAGCTCCTGAATTATTCATGGACTCAGCTTAAGATTCCATACTGTGGGAATGCACTGGGACTGAGAGAGGAAATATTTTGTGGCTGTTTATGTGGGATACATTTTTTACAAGGTTGCATGTTTTTGTGTAGGAAACCAATAATCAATGTGAAATCATTCCAAGGTTTGTTATAGCTTTTAGTACATCTTTAAGGTTTGTCTTAAAGCTGTAATAACTTCGGCATTCTCCATGCACCTGGGTAGTGTTCTTCATTTTATTCTCTCCAAGTTCATGAAGGAGGAGCTGAATTAAAGACAGCAGAGAAATTCAATCTGAGAAGACATCCAGAATAAATAGAGTTAACTAGTTTACCTTTATCCTATAGTGCATATTCCAAACTCACTGCAACAATTCAATAATAATGATTATTATTTGTATTACTACGGTGCCTGTGAGCCCTAGTTATCCTGGATCAGGACCACATTGTGATCGCTGCTGTACAAACACAGAACAAAAGAGGGCTCCTGTCCCAATGAGCTTAAAGTCTCATTTGGTCAAAGGCCATTATAATTTTTACCCTTTTTTTTTTACTTTGCTAATTGTGTTTTAGATACCTCTGCAGGATTTCGCGGAGTAAAAATGATGAGCGGAAACCTTAGTCTGAAGTGATAGATTGAGGCTGATCTTCCATGTAGGTGGAGTTGCTAATTATGCTGTTGGAATAGGACGTCAGCTCGGTTAGAGCAGACTGTTATTCCCAATCTGAGATGTTGTCTTTTGGACAAATTTTAGTCCTCAGTGTAGTTTTCATGTTTACTTAAGGTAGCTGGAGCAATGTAAATAAAGCAGTTGTTGTTGTGTTATACATGTTGTAGTGAGTTGATAATAGAACTCTGCAGCTACCAATTTTTGCTTTGCGTGCAAAACCTGAGGGATTTTCAATATTTGGGAATTCATAAATCTGATCTAGTGTGAAATGTATTACTTTACAAATGTGAACCCATTTTTTCTCTCAATGGGATGAAACATTGCCAAAGCTAAAATCATCTTTTCCCCCCCTTTGTTTGACCCAGGGGGGAAAGTTTTAATGTTTATAATATAATAGCATTTTTACAATACATTTACAGTGAAAACTGCCTCTCACTTCTGCAAACACAACAAATAAAATATGAAGGTAAACCTACAAAATGAAACCCTGATTTTTTAATAAAAGTGGGAGTTTTCTAACATAGCATTAGTTAACCTTTTTAATGAATGGGATCACATCAAAATAAATTGCAGTTCACATTTTTCATGGTTGAATGGCTGAAGTGTGTGTGTACAACTTCTCCCTACTGGAATGAACTAGACTATTCTATCATTTCTCTCACTCTGTCTAGAGGCTGGCATAAAAATTTCATATCTGTCCTAATGACAACTAATGGAGATGTTACTTTAGTTTAGGTGCTAGCGGTCTGCATATTTGAAGCTGAAAACTTGAATTATGTGATGTGCTTGTACAAGTTATCTAACAGCTATGGTATGTGCCTTGATGCAGCTGTCACCATATTCCACCCTGGAGAGAAAAGTAGTGCACCTATATATCAGCCAGCATATTAACAAAACAAGATGCAATTATTTCAGTACCACAAAATATACTTATCTTAAAGTTTTCAAAAAGTCAGTGTTCAAATCCTAGAATAGTATACCAAGTAATAAATGTTTCCTGCAATTTAAGAAGCAGGTGTTCACGGTTCATCTTTTTAGAGCAGAATAACTTTTCCACAAAGAAGATGTAGTTTGTGGTCGTTGTATTCAGGGGGCTGCCCATTTAAGTGTGTTTCAAAGAGTAAAGCCATCCCGTTTGTAGCTGTAAATAAATAAGAGTGTGTGTGTATGTGTTTATTTATTTAGGGTGCCCCTTATATGGTGCAATGTTAATGTCGAAATAACACTTCGTTCATGTGAATCAATGGTATTTACAGTAACAAAAATGTCAAAAGATGTGATATGAATATCTGCAATTCATATTTTCCACAACCATCAAATACCCTAGCTCTTGACTTTTATTGTGTTTGTACTATGAAAATTACTCTGTGTTTGTCATTGTCAGGTTTCCTGCTATATAACATATTTCAGTGCAAATTGTTTAAAGATGCAATAATACACCAGGACACACATAACCACTAAAATATTAAAGGTAAGATTTTCAAAAACACTCAGCGTCAGCTTAACTCTGGTCCTACTGAAGTAAATGATAAAACTCCCATTGTCTTCAGAGTTAGGCCAACACTGATCACTTTTGAAAATTCTATCCTAAGTTTCTGTATTTAAGGAGACAATAAGGTCAACATTTCCAAACCAGGGTTTCTCAAAGTAAACCCTTAAATCCATATTCAGGCACTAACTAAACATGGCCTTGCTTTTGGAAGCTCTGAACACCACAACTCCCATGCTTTTACATTTTGGGACAAAAGTCTTAGAAGATGTTCCAATTAACTTCAGTGGGGCCAGGAACTCACCTATGGTGTCCACACCTGGGGTAGCTCTGAATCCAGCACCATGAGAAAAATAAGATAGTGTTTTTGGTGGGTTGTTTCTTGATAAAGATAAATGTTAATAAATGCTATTTATTTATTATTCATTGATAGTCACAGTTCCATAGAAATAAGTATCTTCATAAAGACAATACAACAATAACCAACTTATGTCAATATTAATAATTAATATTCAGTCCTGTGACACAGTGTGCAGATTGTATTAACATCCATGAACTGGATGAAAATGAAAAATCCTGCAATCTGTGCTCTTGCTTAGGGTCTTCAGCTCAAAGATATTGGGGAATTTAATTGTCTCTGACTTTAATCTGAAAAGTAAAATTCCCATAAACATTTCCCTTGTGATGCAGCTGTGTGAAACATGGTCTTTTAAAGCACTTTGGTGCATTAGATTTTGACATAATTAAATATCTTTGACAAGGAAAATCAGAATTTGTGTTGAACAATGCAAGCTTGCCATTACGAACCTGAAGCATGCTTTGAAGTAGAGAGCTCAGTTTGATCAAGAAAATGTCACTAATTGATTTCTTATGTCATATATCAAAATGTCATGTTCTTAAAAAAAGAAACCGAAGAATGAATGCCATTTAAAATGTCAAGGTTTTCCCATAGAAGCTTATGGTTAGAGCTACATATTGTCTGTTAGTCGACACTGAAAGTTCTCTTTTGATTGCATAAATTATTTTTCACCATATTGTACCACTGAGGTTGAGCAGATAACAAAAAAGCAAACAGTATCTCAAACAGAATTTCTTTGCAAACACAGTTATTTATTCTAAATCTGGATATAAGAAGGTATAGTGATGGTACTCTGTTTTATCTTCTAAAATCATTTAAAAAATCTAGCTATAAAATGAGACTTTCTTTTTATCAGTTGCTACAGTAATCCATTACAATTACTGTTGAATTATGGTTGTTGTGTTTTTTTTTTTAAATGAAATGAAAGGCTCTTTCTATTGTATTGGCACAATTTCCTTTCTGGTGTAAATCCACTAATTTGAACTACATCAGGGATGAAATTGACCTAATACATATACACAATCCTTTCTCTGACAATAATTTTGAGATGTGTGCATTGAAGCAAACAAAGAGAACTTACTGGAGCTAATAGACAAGTGCAGTGCTACTTAGTATAGTAACTGTGTTTTCTGATTTTTGCAGTGCAAGACATATGCCTGTGTTTTGGAGAGTCATCTTATGGGGCTTACCATTGACTTTGGCATGGGCTTTGTATGTTTTGATGCTGCCACAAAGGTAAAGGTCTGAGACCTGCATCCAATATGGTATTAATATTCTTCTTCCAAGTATTATGTTTTGAGATGGAGAGTTAAGCCATCCTTGAAATGTGTTCTTTTAGTATTTTGGTAGGCCATCATATGTTAAATCCCTTATACTTTATTGTAATCCTGGGGGGTTGTTTCTGAATTATATGGGATGTTGCAATCTGTAATGCAGTTGTTACAGAGAAGCCAGTGTCAACCCTGGTCAAGTGTCAAATCCTCATACTATAATTTAACAGGAGAGCCCAAATGGATTCAGGTTGATGTCATTCTCCTGGTGTTGCCTGGTTTCCATCAAATTTTAAAGAGAAATCATCCTGTAGGAATCCATAGTGGCACAGGAATTCCTCAAAGAGAACCCATCATTCCCCATCTCCCATTGCACTAGTAGAAAGTATGATTATTATTGCAATTTCAAATATTTATTATTTCATATTTACATGTGTAGTGTTTGTAATTTTATAATGCAAAAGGTCATCTCTCAAATATCTTGATCAAAGCGTACCTCTTCTGGCTTTCCCATCAGGATAACACAGGTACATCAGCCACCTAGAAAGGAGCAGACAGCAGCCATTGGATTCAGCCACTGTCTGTATGCCTTGTAATATTCCCACGCAGCCTTAAAAAAAATCTACTCACTCAGTCACCTGAGGCGATTAATTTGTTTTGACAGACAAGCTGTTACATTATCATCAATTTTCACATTATGATTATTATTGGCCTGATCCAAAGCCCATTGAAGTCAGTCAGAATCTTTGGATTGACTTCAGTGCACTTTGGATCAAGTTCTCATAGAGATGCACAAAATACTAGGAGTATCTTTCCTTGACTGTTTGCTTGAATTAAGGAGTGAATGTACTTTTGTGTTCAATTCCATGCACATTAAACCAGTTGAGTTTGGCTCACATGGATCCTCACAAAAAAATGTTAAGACTCAGAGATAATGAGTTTTAAACGTGCTTTGTATGAGCATTTGTACATTTTGTTCGTAATTGCTTTGTGGGTTTGGGAGTGTGAGGGGAGGAGGTAGGTGAGGGGAGTAGAGAGAGAATCAGAGGGGAATAATGAGCTCCAAAACAATAGCCCTAGCAACAATAGAATCATAGAATCATAGAATC